TATCTATCTATCTATCTATCTATCTATCTCTCTATCTATCTCTCTATGTATCTATCTATCCGTGTCTATCAATGTATCTATCTACCTATCTATGCGTGTCTATCTATCTATCTATCCGTGTCTATCTATCTATCTATTTATCTATCTATCTATCTATCTATCTATCTATCTATCTATCTATATCCATCTATTTATCTATCTATCACTATCTATCTATCTATCAATCCATGTCTATCTATCTATCTATCTATCTATCTATCTATCTATCCGTGTCTATCTATCTATCTATCTATCTATCTATCTATCTATCCGTGTCTATCAATCTATCTACGTCTGTCTATCTATCTATCTATCTATCTCTCTATCTCTCTATCTATCTATGAATCTATCTATCTACTATCTATCTAGTATCCGTTTCTATATATCCGTGTCTATCTATCCGTGTCTATGTATCTATCTATCTGTCTATCTATTTATCTATCTATCTATTTTGCGTTTGGTGCAGAAAAGAGTGATCTTGAATTTTATTTGAATTGAATATCGAATGCATTTCTTCGTTTGTAGTACGAAGCATACTGGAGCTGGAGTAAGGCGAACCGCTAAGTGTTTCAACTGTGCGCCCCTGGTTTGAGAAGAATACAAGTTACTGAACTGGAGCGGGTTGATTGTAATTATGTGAACGCGATTTACAGGGTCAATGGGTAAAATACAGATCAATAATAATTGGGCCTTTGGATACTTGGTTAAGGTCGATAGCTAGGCCGCTCGGTCACGTGACACCTGATGCGAGCGAGCTGTGGCCGGATTTGAGCTTAAATCACACTAAGCAGCTGACGAAAATTTTTTCCATCAGCTGACTCCAGGCAGTGAGTCGGACCCGGACCATAACGGAGTGAATGCAAGTGTGCCACCACCGACTAGCAACTGGGTGGCCTTTTTCTAAACTAAAAGCAAACAATATACAATCTATGTAGGCTTATCAACGAGCTACTTACTACCCGGATTTGTTTTAGCACCTATTAGCAAAAAATAATCACTTGGTCGAAAATATTCAGAACTTGAATAATATGTAGACTGTATTATTGTTTCAAACTGACATGTTCTAAATGCTTAGGAATTCTTCGTGATGACCGACAATGAGCACTCACTGGGCAGCTTTTCTGACCAGTGTGGGACACCAGGAGTGAGTAATTTTTGTCTCCCAGAGAGGACTTGAACCGCTACATGTTGGAATCCTACAAACTACCTCATGGTACCCGAATATAAGATATTAAAATATTTTTTGAAAGCAAAGTCCGGTGGGTGAAAGAAGCTGTTTCTTTTTATCTCGATAAATTCATCAACTGGCCATTGCAACAATTCGCCCCCGGAGGACCCATCAATGACCTAGCCGAGATGCGGATCAGGTAAACCAACTTTCTGTGCATAGTTTGATGCAATCAAACCAGATCGATGAACACAAATAACCTCCCCCCCATATAATTGAAATGGGGCAGTTGATGAATTCATTGAAAATAAACAACAGTTTCTTTCTCCTACCGGATTTGGTTTTCAACGTGACAATGGGTTTTTCCATTTGCTGATATCCTCTTCTTTTTGCATTTTCAAATACCGACACAACGAAGCCCCCAGTTCTGCCTTAGAAAGAACCTTGAAATAAATCAATTTCATTTACACTGTGCACGGGGCACGAGGGGGCGTTGTATGTCATCCGATAATCATTCGCATCCGAAACGCCAACCCGGGCGATTAGAATTCAGTCGCACCGAATTCGTTCCACGATCAATGAGACTGGAACAGCCGTGATTCGTCCACCGACAGTGTTAGGCGACTGAGCTCTCCTTCCTACCTAAATCTATTCGTTACCCACTACCAACCCTCAACCTCCCTCCCATGTCTCTCTTTCGTGCGTCCCATGTCTGGCGCTTTCCTTAGCTCGCGCAGGGGGTGGGGTATGTAACGGGAACAGATGCAAGCCGATTGGTCAGTGCGGTTCATCTTCCAAACCAAGTCTGCCCCAAACTCCACGTCTATTGGTCCATATTAGCACGACCCGTTCACACCCATCCCAGTTCGACAACTATCTACCAGGTCGGACTCCGTGTATCGCTCAATAGTACACTATGTCCGCCTCAGTCTGTGAAGTTTGTACAGAACGGGAATCATTTTGTAACACAACCGTGGTCAATAGGCGGGGTCAACATTGTTCAGATCAATTCCCCAGTCGGACAATGACTTCTACTCTGACAGTCGGTCATGGGAATCTTGTTTCTAGCGGTGGAAAGCGTCGAGGTCGAAAACCCGGTCTGAATAGTACGGTTGCACAACGCAGTGCAGCCAATGCTCGCGAACGATCCCGAATGCGTGTGCTATCTGGTGCCTTTGTCGAACTGAAAGGTGCATTACCATGGGTACCGAAAGATACAAAACTGTCGAAACTGGATACCCTGAAACTGGCCGCGGGCTATATTGCTTATTTGCGCCGGATACTGGATACGGGACCAACTGGTGCGGGTACCACATCGATCGGGATTTCCGACTCAGATGAGGCTATGACCGAATCAGACAGTCTACTGGATGAGATGAATACACCGGATCCGCTCAATCTATTACGTCTGGTCTCACAAACAAACGAGCTAGCTTCCGCTCGCTGGATTGATAATCCTGCCACTAATGTGTCATCATGCACTCCACATTCCACAGCACCCCTGCCCGGATCCGAATTGCGCCCGTTTGGACAGTTTTCTGTGCAAAATCGATTGATCAGTTCGATCTATCATGCTGTGCCGAACATCATGCCCGATTTTCCATTGCCCGGTCTGATGCTAAACAACCTTTCTGGTTTGGAAGAGACTTCGGTGAGTTCACCCTCGGACTAGGTGACTGAGCGAAACGGTTTTCCTCGGGGGTCATTTGTGTCCGATAGCTGGAATCTATTTGTGTTCTTTTTTCGGTGGTAGCTGTTTTTTAATATTATTCTCAATGCAACAAATCTCAATGTAGGGTATTGTAGTCACAAGAACTCAAAATTGTCCATCCTACAACTGAGGTGCAAAACCTCCAAATGTAAATATATATATATATAGTACTGAACTGTGGGACAGTAAAGCAGACTCCAGAACAGATCATAATGACACTCACGATGTCCTGTTAGACAGTGTTTCTATAATGAGTAGTATATGAATGACTGGACAAAGTTTCTGCAGAAGCACACGATCGTTTTCGCTGTCCTTGCCGCTCGTCCGGTGTGTGCGTATCCGGTAATCTGGTCATTCTTATACTTGAACTTCCAATGTGAATTACCCAATCAAATGTCATTTGCGACTTAAAGAGTTGATTGGAGATGAACAAGCCTCGAACAATCATTGGGATCATTTTGCTTTGAGCGTTGTGACTTGGATGCGGCTAACCTCGGTCAACATGAAGCCAGGATCGGTTTTCAGTATTTTCCGAATGAATAGTTGTATATGAATGATTGGACAAACTTTCCCGGTCAATATTACATTTAGAGACTTATACTGCCCCACTTACCGATCAAACCACAACATATTGCAACAGGTATGGTCCCGAGGGTCAGTTCACCATCGATCGAATAAAATAAACTAAAACCCGAGACCCGGTTCGAAGCGAACATATCATGGTTGCATTGTATTGATTGTCCCGACTGTAGTCAGTCCACACTTTACCACACAATCACTTGTGAATACTAGTCGCTGATTGGCTGTCACTAAAAAAGATAGGTGTACAAACTGGGCGCGGTAATGCGGATTCAACCGGTTCATGGTCTGGTTGGTACAGAGATCAAACACACACACACACGTCTGCTATGTGAAAGTCCCGGGAATTCGAATATCCGATCGGTCAACCAATATATACATCACTGATGAGGTCGAATGAATGTGAAACTCAATGCACGTGCGTTCGAACGATGGACCGAATGAATTTGAGGATGAACTGAGTCAAATAAAATGTTACAAAAATGGATTTGAAATGTTCATCATCCGTGGGAATACAAGTGTGATCCATATAATGTTTGTCAAGTTTCTATTCAATCATGTCCCAAAAAAATATCCTCCAANTCCTCCAAAATTGGATATCTAATGGACAGCCTGTTGCCACATCATCAGTCTATTTGTATATGGTCCTTTCAAACTCAAGGGGAATGTGTTGTGTGCAAACACAAAAAAAGAATTAGTACTTTTAACTGTTCAAGAGTGACATTAAGGGCCTCCGAGTGCCTCAGTATGATCCCCGGCGGAGCGTCTCTAGAAATGCTCCCAAATGACCAAACACCTCAACTATCTTCTGTTGAGAAAATCTGATCCACTACCTTCTCGTGGCGGAAGTGTTAAAATTAAAGGGGAGGAGAAATGAGTATACGCCTGACACCTGACACCAATTGGCCTGACCAGTGATACTCAATCGAGGGGAATTGGCTAAAACCTGATTCTATTCCCTCCCTCCTGCCTTGTGGGTCAGGATAGTTAAACAAAGGTCCCGGATAGAGGATATACTGTCGAACTACAATCAGCGGCGTGAATACACCCTCTTCCGTATCCAATCCCAAAAATCAAGCAAACTAGAACTAAATTGCATGCAGTGAACAAGCGAAAAAGAGTTATGTCCACAATGGACTGCTTTCGTTTTCTCCCCATGTTCTATTCCCTGTGATTCCCTTTTATCTCAGGGTTAATCGGATGGAAGATAGGGAATGGGTCGTGTATAGAGCAAATGAAGCGTGTGCTGAAAAGCTAGAAAGCTCCATGCGGCTGTTTCGACCTAATTGGGTCTTATCAGCAGTACAAAGTCACCGCCCCCGCCGGGGATCGAACTCGGGATCCCACAGGCGGAACGAAAGCACGATACCCACTCGGCCACTGAGCAGTTAATATGACTAATTTTCACCGATTCTATTTACACCATACAGCGCAACCCATTTTTAGGAGCCTGTTGCGGGTATCGCTCCTCGCTCATCTGACCAATAGACTCCGAGATTATGACTCAGTTGGAAACTACGTCTAGAGTCACACACCCGTGATTGTGAACTTTTTGGGTGAACCTCGCATTTGGAACGTTTTCTTTTTGATTGCATCGGCTTCAATTACTTGTTGCGCACTTCACATATGTGATTAAGTGGGGTCAAATTTATTCACTTTGTTGTGATGAATTTTCCGGTGAAATGATTACTATCCGGTGTGCAGTGTCCAGTCGGAATTTTCAGTCACTCAGAGGTATTTCCTTCCATTTTGGTGATGTAACAACTGCCTCTGCTGATAACATAAACTTTTCGGATCCGGACTGTCGAGTACAGTTTTTTCTCCGATTCCTTCACTCTGTCTTGTACTGTTGTTCCGTGTGGAGATGACAACGATGCGAGGTGGGAATAGACTGAGGAACATCCATCCGTTTTGCGGTTGAGAATTCTCGGTTGAGGAAGATGACACTTTGTTCTGTTGTGTGAATATTTGAACACAAACTTAGTGATAATATTTTCAAATTAAATCCTGTACAAACAGCATGGGAATCATAGTTCTATTCGTATGGATAATGCACATTTCATGTCTCTGTTGTAATATTCTGTAACTCAAATCATCCACATCTCGATGCTTAACTGGTGGCGCAGGGTTAGGGGTGGGTGCTCGAGAGATCATGAAATGAGTAAGTCGATGTTGATCAGACACGATTCATGTGATCCATGCGCGGATGGATCTGTTTAAATAAGTTCTTGATTTTTTCTTGCTCCATGAATGTCTTGTGCCCAGTTAAGGGCCAGTGTTGAATGCAATTCAGTATATGGTATGAATAGCTCGAGTTTACAGCTCATGAGTCATATGTGAGCAAAAGAAAATCCACCACGATCTACGCTCATCTTGCGTATAAATTTATCACGGAACAAAGAGATTGTAGTTACAACGAAATAGTAGATTGTACAGAATCATTCAAAAAATGTCATATTAGAGAAAGAGGACACTTGATCCTGTTAACAAAAGCCACCAAATTTGGATAGGTGTTTTCTTTTTTCGAGCGATTCTTTGACTGCTGTATNAAACCCCGTTGGATGCATCAGATCGAATTGATTTAGGTCAACAACATATAATCTGGTAGTTTGTGTTCCAATCCCGTCATGATGATCGTAGTTTGATAAAACGTGGGGGAAAAATGAGAGCCCCAATGCAGCAGAACAATTCACACACACACACACACACACACACACACACACACACACACACACACACATACACACACACAAATTCTTAGGTGGCCGGTGGAAGGCTACCTAGAAGGATGTTTCGATATCTGCGGAGAAGTAGCTTGTGACCTCTTGCCTTTCCAGTTGCAGAACTATAGAGTTGGACAAGTTTGGTCCGAACGCATGACGACTGGTAAAGATAGCTTGGTAAAACAAATGCATCTCGATTGGGCGACATATTGATACTACCGGAGAACGCGGTAATACAGCGGAGGACGAAGCAATTCACCGCCCGGGTAAATAAATGTTGGTCTCGGTTCTAGCAGCAACTTCAGCTGTCCATCCAATATTTTTGGGTAATGTGCACCAATCATGATTCCGTTGATGAAAACCAGTTCCCTCTACCTTTCCGACCAAACAACTCCTCGAGCCCATAGCAAACTTCGGGATCCTGGAATACTGATTCACTTATTCTGTTTGTGTATCCATGTTCATTTAAAATTTCCAACTCATCCTTCATCCATCATTCGCAGCTGAGAGATAGCACTTCAGAACTTCACTCGAGATCACCTCCTTTGTGTTCCACACCAGTGACACCCAGGAATCACCCGATCAGAATGCTCCGTTAGATTGGGGTCGGTTATACGAAGAATCTTAACCAGCCATCGTGTAAGCCGGCCCTATTTCTTCAGTAGCTGTCTCAGTGAGACTTGTGAACATATAGAAAGATAGATTTTTGTTTTAAGGATAATGGGCGATTCCTCTGTAGATACCAAAATACCCTTCTACATTGTAGCATTTCGTTTGTTATAGAAATCCGATATCCCTATATTCGACAGATGGTCATACATACGGGTTTAGTCGTATCGGTTTATTCGCTTGGAAATTGTACATGCATCCAAATCGCTGATTTCCTCTGTTTCTCCGAAAACATTAACCCGATCAATGGACTGTTGCTCTTTCGTCTTTAACCTGACCGGATTCGGATACCGGATGACTGGTTCATTCCAATTGTCAAATGACGGCCCTCAATGAAATGCGTGCAAATGGTTCACGAATGTGAATCGGGGCCAACTGATCGCCCA